TAAAGTTGAGGGTAAGAATCCACCCATTTTTTCGCCATATAGCATTGTGATATATAACGACTTATTGTTGGTAGCTTAGCTGATTGGAGAATATAGAGTTTATTGATAACATTAAGGTAATTTATATTTTAGTTTTTTATTGGTTCACTATATAGTATTCATTATACATTGTATTGTATACCCAGTTACTGTGAATAGCTCAGATGTGTAGACCTTGACTTCAACATAGCCATTTCTGTGACCAGTCACTAGCTAATCACTCAGTTATTTCAATGCGAAATTCGCCTAGTCATTTCAATGCTAAATTCTCCTGTTTGATTTGTACTAGGTGCCTCGGTGAATGTGTATGCTCTGACTTTAAACATAGCTATTTCTGTGACCAGTTACAAGCTAATCACTCAGCTATTTCAATGCTAAATTCTATGCTAATTCCTTTGTCAAGGGGTGCCTCTGCGGATGTGTATGCTTTAACTTAGCTATTTCAATGCTAAATTCTATGCTAATTCCTTTGTCGAGGGGTGCCTCTGCGGATGTGTATGCTTTAACTTTAACATAGCCATTTTTGTGACCAGTCACAAGCTAATCACTCAGCCATTTCAATGCTAAATTATATGCTAATTCCTTTGTCAAGGCGCTTTGTTTCTTCTGACACAGCTTAAAGGTCGTGATCTGAACGTGGCTTTTTTCACTCCAGCGCTGTCCTACCAGACAGTCTCGTCCCTTCACCTGATGAAGGCCGCTTGTGTTGTGGCCGAAACGTCGTGAGAATATTATTGTGTTATTTAATTTTATCAATGTATTATTTTATTCTCATTCTACGTGACTTTACCGAAAGAACCAAAAAAGTGAAAAGGCATGTATGCTGGGAACATTAAGTGTGCGAGGTCATATAATGGTGAAATCTTATTTGGTGAAATGAAAATAATGAAAATAGTAATTAGTTTTAGTTAATAATAAAGGTTATTGGGTTAGAGCGCACTATTTATAAATGTGTCGCAACCCTCCACCACCCGACATGGCCAATCATAAAAAATGTGCCACGTTGACAATTGACAATGAGTTCACTACTTTAGCCCACCGGTGTGTTGAAGTGTGGATCCACAACATTTACAATTTGAGAAGTACAAAGTTTCGCTGGTAATTACATCCAGCATCTTCGGGCAATTTGCCAGACTAGTGAAGTCATCCACCTGCTTCCGTCTTAAATAGTGCAGGATGACGTCATCATTGTTGAACCCCATCAGGATTCGAGATCAGAGGCAGAAGTGGGGGTGGGGGTGTATGCAATTATGTAATAGATCAGTAATCAGACACTTAGCATGTGACTCACCTATAACTTATAGGTGAGTCTGTAGCTATCACAGCGGTTGAAATTATTTGAATTCTTCTAAATTTCGATTGATTCTATAACTAGTCTTGGTCAGTAATAATTAGTTCTGCATAACACTTCAACGTTATCAAAATCAATTGAATGTCCTTGTTGGCAAGCATGCTCTGCCACTGCTGACAGCTGTGTTTGGGATAATTATTGGTGCCCACACCGAGTGTTGTAACCACTTGGTAATATTGAGTGACCACTTAGTCATATTGAGTGATATCTCGCGTGCAGGTGACACGGACAGCCCGGTTGCTAGGTGATAGTAGATAGGTCGCTTGATTCAAGAGCCGAATGGCTCACAGGGCTACATCAAAATAAATAAACTGAAAAAAACTGAAATTTAATGTTCCTTTGGTGTTCTTTTAGTCGTACGCTGATGATACGTCCCGTCTGTCCAATATAACACTTACCGCATAAGCATTTGATCCGAAATACACCTTCTGTTGATAACTTCGGTAATTCATCTTTAGTACAAGACACTAAATTAAAAAAAAACTAGTGTCTTGCACTAAAGATGAATTACCCAAGTTATCAACAGAAGGGTTGCAACACATTTATAAATAATGCGATCTAACCCAAAAAACTTTATTATGAATAATACTGGTGGCGAAAGCCTACGTGTTAAACTGAGTTTCAGTTGAATTTAGACTTACCTTCACAAGCACTGGTACCAGTCCGTTTTTGAAAGCTGACGATGAGGGCTGCTTTTCGTGGGCATAGAAGCGTGGGCGGCAAGGTGCATGGGTGAAAACTCATATTTTTGTACAAAACTGTATATAGATGAGACCTTTAATGTATTTGCACAGTTTACATTTGTGGTGGTGACGTTGCCGAGTAATTGCATATTTGCCACATTGCAGGGGTTCGTAGTCGAGTCCAAGGCCACCCTGGTTTATATTGCAGGTATATAAACCATATGATTGCATGTAATAAGCTTCGCAGCAGACTTTCACCCTCCAAGTAGCGCGGTTGGCGACGTACATACATTCTGGGCGTCATGATTAAAAATGTGAAATAAAAAACGTATTAAAATACTAAATTCCGCTAAGAAATCGTCTGTAGTCCTAGATTTTAAAAAATGTGAAAGTATAATCATCGTGTATTACAATAGCCCTCAACTCACGCTACTGTATAGTGGGCGGTGAGGTCATGAGGGCCGAGGTGCAGGTGACAAAGGCCCCACGGTTATTAGGAGACGGTAGACTGCTATATAATGTGATTAAACACCACCTGGGGAATTACCACTTCACTTGGGCCCCACGGTGGCGAGATGTTAACTACCTCGCCTGGTATGCAGGAGCCCTGATGTTCAATCCCGACCCCGAGGATGCCTGTATATTTGTTCTCCCCGTGGTCGTGTGGATTTTTTTCCGGTCCTACGGTTTTTCCCTACATATTTAGAATCAACATCACGCGTTTAGAGTATTTGCCGGCTATACATTTCCACGTGATAAGTCACTTCGTTGAGTTCTTATTTGTTGCAAGCTCGCTTTTGAAAAAGAGCTCTATATTGCTCGGTCGGCCTTCCCTGGTGAAATAAAGATAGTTTTCTGTTTTTTTCCGTCTCCACATGAGAAACATACGTTTCGAGAATTTGGCTGATAAAAATTCCCACATACGCCACTTCATTGGGCGATCATTTGTGGGCAGGTCGCTTCTAAAAAAAAGAGATACATAGGCCTCAGTGGGCTTTATCTGGTAAAAAAAATCTGAAAAATAGGGACCACACCCCATAAGAAATAATTAAAGGGTGCTGGCAAGAATGGTGGGAAACGGGGGATAGGGGATTGGGGGGAAAGATCCAGAACGATACATGCAGGTAGTCCCCGACTTACGATGGTCCGACTTACGATGGGGTCGTCGTAACGCATCTCCATCGTAAGTCGGGGACTACCTGTATTTGCGGCCAAGAGGAGAGGGTCTCCAGGGGAAAAAAAAACAGGCTGCTCGTCGACAAAAGTTGATCATGCCCTACAAGTGTTCGTGTCGGTGTTTTTGGAACAATAAAGTTCCCTTGCCAGGAGGATTCGTGTGGACTCCCTTTCACAATTATCACGTGAAACATTATGGTCGAAGAGAGGCTTTTTTGTTGTTGAACGTTTCAACCTTGCCGTCCATCTGAGGATGGTATGGTTGAAGCCCTTTGCATTTTTTTAAAAAACGTAATACCTCACAAATATCTCGAAGCAGCTGTGGTGACAAGCGACCTATCTACTATCACCTAGCAACCGTGCTGTCCGTGTAACCTGCACGCGAGATATCACTCAATATGACTAAGTGGTCACTCAATATTACCAAGTGGTTACAACACTCGGTGTGGGCACCAATAAAGAGGTATATGGCCACCGTTTATCATTTAATGTGTCTCTTAGATACGGAGCGATTGCCTTTCTTTGATCGTGCTTTACACTGATTGTAACTATGTCCACTTTTCGACCAATATGTCCTGTATGACTGGGTGCATGACATCCACCAACTTGGATCGTGCACGGTTGGTGGATCATGCAGAATTATAATTTTTTGTTACCCAGGCAAGCTTCACTGAGACTCAAGACTCTTTGAGGAGGGTCCTGCACTGGGATGCTTAGCCAATTCCACGAATGAGAATTTTGCTTCATCTGGCCGGAAACCGGACAGGGGGACAATACCCACCAGTGCCACCTCTGGGGCAATTCGCTACCAACATGTCCATCAGAAACCCGGGCTGTAGGAGCAGCGTGTTTCTTGGGCACGAAACATTGCAGCGAGTATGTTTGCTGGGCTATCCGTGTCCATCTCGCTTGTAAGTGCAGACCTTCCTCGGTGTACTTTCATTTCCCAATGCAATGCTCCCGACAAGACTTTGTAGCACTTTCGTGGTTTTAGGATAATGCGGTCAAAAAGTGACAAGGTCACTATGCTTAACCCTGAATCAGTGGTTTAAATACACATTTAACCGGTCAAGCTTCACTGAGACACATTCTTATTTGTTGGGGAGTAGTCCGAATAGGGAAACCCCTGTTAACTTCCCAAGAGTGGTGAAATTCGCATTTTATCGAAGCCAGAGAAATGATGGGCCGTGTCTAGCCCAAACCGGGATTGGTTACCTTGGGTTCAGGCCAGAGTATTGTCCGGTGGCTGGCCTATTAAAAACAGTTTTTTAGAAGGATGTTCTCAGTGCTAGCAGAGCTACATTGAGAGAACATGCTTACTGCAGCCGAGTGCAGAAAAATGCTAGCTCAAGTACGGACCGCCAACCTCAACCAGGTGTCCTTTCATGATACTGTGTAAATGATGTGAAATTGTGGTAATTCTCCAGGTGGGGTTTTATCATATTATATAAACCGTCTACCGTCTTCTAACATCCGTGGGGCCTGTGCCACCTGCAGCCAGCCATCTCCAGCCCTGAGACCTTTTTTCCAGGAGTGTCCTGCTTAGGAGGTGACCATTGCTTTGCGATTCTAAGTTAAGTAATTTGATATAAAAACTAATTTCTTCAAATTTTTACATATTTAAACCACGACACGAGAACACACGGCCTCCTGTGATTAGAATAACGTCGAAGAGTCTTTATGGTCCGCTGCGAAGCAGATAAAACGCAATTTTAGAGTTAATACACCTGCAATATTAATCAGAACGGTCTTGGACTCGACCACGAATCCCTGCAACAAGCGGCAAGTTATGCAATCGCTCAGCAATGTCACCGCCCCAAAATGTAAACAACTCTAAGCAAACACATTAAGGGTTCCGCCCGTATATCATGCAAATATGATGAGTTGCACCCATGCAGCTTACCGCTCACTCTTCTACGCCCACGAAATACAGCCCCCATCACCAGCTTTATAAAGCCCACTTGGATACCGGCGTTTGTGAATCAGTCACAATGAGTCCTCTCGTGCAGAGCTTCCTCGCCATCGCATTCTCCCTCCTGCTGCCTGGGAAAGTATCCTCGGACAGCACGGGGCTTCTGGCCGTGGGATCGTCAATGAACTCCAGCTCTATGGCCTTCGTCCAGCACCAAATGAGTCCTCGCCGGGCCTCGACCAGCGGTAAGAGATGGGAAGAGTGCCTGTGTTAAGAGGGCTAAACCCAAGACCATTAGCGTTTGCAAGTCGAAGCAAAATGCCGATCAGAAATTATTTTCTGGGAACATAGGTTGCCCTTTAACGTGACTGGCCCTTGCCACAGAGAGGTGAAATTTCCACCACTGGCTTCGAGGCTGCCAACAAATATTAGTATTTACCTATGCTCATTTAATCATGGAAATACATTTAACTACGACGTTGATACAATAGCAAGGTTCCTCGTTGAATGGCACGGTTTAATGCCCGGCCATAGGAGTTTAACGTTCGATGTCTTCTCAGTGGTGACGCGAATGTGCGAGCAATCCACTCTGTGCATGATCGCCACCAATAAAATAATATGGTTTAACCATAATAGAGTTTTCTTTGGTTAGATTGCGTGAATATCAATGTGTCGTTAAACCCGCCACCACCCGACACAGCCAATTAGTAAGGTTTGTGACGTAAACAAAACATCCCAATTCGTTCCTAGTCCGGCAAACTGCTGCGTTGGAGAGTAAACACACAACATTTACAATTCGAGTACGACGTTTCACCAGTAATTACAACCAGCATCATCAGGCGAGAGCGAGAGTTGGCGGGTGTAATGACACGTTTATATTCATACGATCTAACCCAAAAAAACATTCTATCCTGGATAATATCTGTTCAACTGAATATGGGTTAGTTTAACACGTAGGCTTTCGCGACCAGTATTATTCATAATAATAATAATAATAGCCCAGAAATGTGTGTAACGCGCGTGACATCACTCCACATGCCAAAGTCGCTTCAAATATCACGTTTCTTTACAGAACGTGACGGTCAAAGCTAAAACTACGCAGCACAGCGCTACATGCGTACGTGACGTCACTTCAAAAAAGCCACCCCCACCCCCCCCCCGTCATTACTATCACAAGCAAGATTTTTTAAAATGAAAATTCGATTTCAATTTGACGTTTCCTTATTTAAAGTTAATCAAAATAAACACTTATACGCGGCAACAAAGTGTATTTGGCGTCTTTATTTCTTCAGCGCTTGAAACAAAAGGTAAGTCTAATTTTTGCTTCTAAATTGTGATAACATATATACATTTCTCTGATTTTCCAGACATTGTATCGAATTCAAATTTAATACAGCACCAGCGAGCGAAACCAGAAGAAAAGAAAGTATCAGAGCAGTGATTTTGAACAAATTGAAGGTCAAATCTTGATTTAAAGCTTTCGTGACTGCAGGGATTCATAGTCTCGCGTTCTTTCGGTAAAGTCACCACCACGTAGAAGGGAAACAATAAAATAATAAAAATATAAAACAATAAAATTCTCACGACGTTTCGACTGCAACGCAAGCAATCATCATCAGGTGTGAAAACCACAGTATGAACATTTGAAAAAAGTGGCGTTCTTTTATTTTATTGTTTCCCTTCTACGTGGTGACTTTACCGAAAGAATCAATAATATGAATCCCTGCAGTCACGAAAGCTTTAAATCAAAATTATACTCTGCTCATTTTTTTCGTAAATATTACAGCTTCCGTCCGAGGACGGGCAAAAGGCTAGTTCATAATAAAGGTTCTTGGGTGAGATCACGTTATTTATAAATGTGTCGCAACCCTCCACCACCCGACATGGCCAATCATAAAAAATGTGGCACGTTGACAATTGACAATGAATTCACTACTTTAGCCCACCGGTGTGTTGAAGTGTGGATCCACAACTTTTACAATGTGAGTAGTACGACGTTTCGCTGGTAATTACATCCAGCATCTTCGGGCGATTTGCCAGATTAGTGAAGTCATCCACCTGCTTCCGGTCTTAAATAGTGCAGGATGACGTTATCATTTCGATTTGAAGCTTTCGTGACTGCAAGGATTCATCTTCTTTGGTTCTTTCGGTAAAGTCACGTAGAATGAGAATAAAATAATAAAATAACACAATAAAATTCTCACGACGTTTCGGCTTCAATGAAGCTCTGTCGTCCCGACAGTTCTGTACCTTTCACCTGAAGACGGCCGCTTGCGTTGTGGCCGAAACGTCGTGAGAATTTTATTGTGTTATTTTATTATTTTATTCTCATTCTACGTGACTTTACCGAAAGAACCAAAGAAGACGTTATCATTGTTGAACCCCATCAGGATTCGAGATCAGAGGCGGAGGTGGGGGTGTATGCAATTATGTAATAGATCAGTGATCAATGAATATGGGTTAAGTAAGAATACTGTGTACAAGGCCTATGACTGGAATGCATTCAACCCTAATAACGGATTGCTGCAATCCAGGACCGAACCCCCAAGAACTGTTAGTGCCAGTTCAGTGCTCTGACCGTATCGGCCACACAAAATAATAATTAGCGTCGTTTGTGGAGAACACAGGCGTGTATCGCTTGACGAGCGTTCTTATCACGATAGTTCGCTATCACGAGCAATTTGACCATCGCCCAATTTGCAAAACGAACAAATGTCCGCGTAACGAGCGGAGGAGACCCATCGATCAAACGCGAGGCGGAAGGGAGGTATTGTCTGTGCATGTTACGGAGAGAGCAAGAGAGAGAGCGAGCGAGAGGGTCGTGTGATTGAGTGGAGATCGTATGTGTGAGGGTGTTTATTCAAACATGCGGCTGTAATGAGGTCATATCATGCGCTGTATGGGGTGACCTTCCACTGTGGTTATTCACGTGTGGTAAGGGTAACATTTGATATTTGATTACTTTCTTTTAAACTTATACAGTAGTTTGTATTTCTTACGTGAAAAAAAGTAGCTCCAGTGGAGCAATTTTCGGGCTGAAACGTTTCTCGGATTTTAACATGGGAGGTGTCAACGGGAGAAACTACGATCGTTCAACGGGTTTTCGCTCAACCGAGTGCTTTCGCTCGTTAAGCGAGACACGCCTGTACAAGTAGCAAAGACAGATGGCCACCTCATCTCCCACTCCCCCACCCCCCCACCCCCCTCCCTCCTCCGTAGGCGTTTCATCGTGTTACATATGCACCGGAGGATCGTGCAAGGTTGAGACATCATGCACCACAGTTCCTGACGTAAGTTGCTTCACTAAGGTCAATGAGCTCGCCAGGCCATCAGGCCATCGTTCAACTGGAACTTACGCATGTCAGTCAGCCTGTTCTCCGATAACGCGTGTTTTCACAACGCGAATTGGATATGACGTGAATGCATGTATAAGGGAACATTTTTTTTTTCCATAATGCGGATGCCAATTAGAAATAATGCTACCCACGTGCCTCAGTCTTTGTTTGGCCTGAATACGCGTCTCGCGTATTTATCGCGCAATGTGAACTATCGATACACATGTAATGATCAAAGTTACTGTGTGCTCTGCTTTATAGCGTGTGTTTTCTCACCGAGTCTGACTTCGAGAAGTATTACTGCGTGGCCTCTATTTCAATTTTAGCTGGTAAATAAGTTTGCGGGGGGGGGGGGGGAGGGGGGGGCAAAATAATGTTAGCCGGAGTCACCTCACCACCTACCCCAGTATTGTTCACACATCTTTTAGAGGAGGGCCACTTTCGCCGATAGGACATCGTCAGTGCGTGACGTCCGCCACACGCACCTACCAGGGGTTATTGTCACGTGTTGTGTATTGTCAGAAGGCCCCACGTCACGGGGCCGCACTGAAGGCCATCAAGGGCCCGCCAGTGGTCCCCGGTGCAACCCCTGGCGGCCAATAATGAGTTTGGCTGTTTCTCCGCGCCGCTGCCGGTGCTGCTCCAACTCCGGTCTGTCTGTTGTCTCCTTACGCCCATGTCCTTTGTGCTCAGGCCGTGTGCCTGACAGGGATACTAGACATGGTCAGCGCTGAGCTGCAGGGTTGCGCAAGTAAGTCGATCTGCGAAGACTACAGGAAGGCCTACAGTTGCACAGGCAATGTGCCCATCGTGGGCTTCTGCTGCTGTTCGTCCAAAAACTGCAACTCGAGCAAAGACACGTGCATCAAGGAGATCGGTGAGTGTGCCTGATCGACGCTGCGTCCGGGGTTGGGGGGGTGGGGGGTTCTCAAACATCTCTCGTTCTTTGGCGTCAACGCCACGGCTAACCGTTTATAGTCACGTCCGAGGCATTAATGGCCGGTAGCACGTGCTACGTAACCGCCTTCAGTTTTTACTGCCGCCGTTAACAACCCCTCCGTTGTCATTCTCAAAACTACAATCACCATCAACGTGAACTGCGACATCGTCGTGAGCACCAACGCCATTAATGTTATTGTCATCGTCAACAGAACCTTCGCCATCACTCCCTAAATCTCCACAGTCCAACACCAATGCCGTCACCATCAACTTCAGAAGTTTATTTCGATATTTTTAACACCACCGGCATTTTCATGAGCACCGACACCTTCGGAGCACCGTTAACATGAAGATGGTCACCTCCAGTTATAAATACAACCCCTGAAACCAAAAGCGCGATTACTTTCTCCACCATTGTCACCACCGCTCTTGCCGTCGAAGTCAACATCAACTCCAACCTCATCATCACGATAGCGACAGCTTTCCCATGATTGTCATCATCACAATCATAAACACAACCACCACTAAAGCCACTAACAGTGGCATCCTCACCACCGCAATTCGAGTAGGGTGGGGAAAGAAGCCGTATTTGTCTGTCTGTGAAAAAGAGCTTTAAAGCTCATCAGATTCCTCCAGTATAAATACATATTCTGATACTGAAATTATGTCATCGGCTATCATGAGGTTGAGGTGGATATTGGTGACCTCCTGTTACGGGTCTATGGGGCTCAACAGACACTCTGTGTGCGAACACCAGGACAAAGATAACCTCTTACCCCACCTTACTGGACATCTGTAAAAAAACTGGACATCTTTGACAAAGAGCTTCATAGCTCATCGGATTCATGTAGTCTAAATACATGATCAGATTCTGATATATAAACACCACCACAATTAACTTGATAATTCCCAGCTTCATTTATACCATCAACACTTTTAACGTGATTTTTTTAAATAACCATCACTCTAATTGTCACCGCCACAACCACTACCACCACCCGCAGTACAATTGTCACGCGCATCATCACCACCACCATCATGATCATCAATCACCACTGGTGAAACCACCAACATTAAGTGCCAACATCTTCATCACCACCACTGCTATCAGTATCTTCATGATCAACATTCAACAACGAATGTCATCATCAACACTGTTATTCATAATCACCACCACTACCACTGTCTCCCTACTTTTAACACCACATCCACCATCCCCTACCACTACTGCCTCGCCCACGTTAACACTAAAGACAAAGATGCCCCGTATAGCCTTAACAGACTGTAGGGGCAAGTGCTGTTAGCGAGCACCCTATGAAGGCCTAGACGGCACACGAGGGGGTGGGTGGCCAGCACCACGCCCGACCGCCTTTGTCTCCCTAGTGGCGATGTTTACACACCGCACCAGGTACTCATTTGAGGCTGAGTCGACCTTGGGGAGGCCCCAGGACCGGTTCAAATAATCGCCACCGGTGTTGGCCGTGAGCGGGAATCGAACTGGCACGCTTCCACCACCACCTCCACGAAGATTTTCACCGTAGAGGTTGTACCGTGGCTTCTCGGTGTCTGCTGTTTAGGTCACTGACTGCTGTGTTCATTTCGTGGGTTCGAGCATCGCGGGACATGACGCCGAGAGAGACGCGCCGCGCCACCTGATGTTGGCGCTAATGAGGCACGGCTCTGTGCTCTGTGTTTTTCCACAGCCAAGCGGTGCCGCAACGGGGCTGGTGGCCTTGGCGGCGGCGGCGGCAGCTGGGCTCTGGCCCTGCCCCTTGTGACGCTTTCGGGATTCCTGCTGCGCTAATTAGGCCGGCCCAGGGACCTCGACTCCTCTCACGCTCTCTCTAGGACTCGTCAAAAATTACTCCTTGGATTCTCATGAGACACACTCGCCCAACAAAACTCACTTGCACTCTAACTGACTCTTTCACTGAATTCTGAATGACTCGCCCGCGGTCTTCCCTGGAGCGCGTCTCGGCTTCACCCAGACACACTTCTCAGGCATTCCCAGGTTTGAGCCACTTTCTCCTCGACTCCTGGTCTCACAGATACTCCATCTTCATGGGCTCTTTCAGAGCTCCATTTTCAGACTCTTCATAGCAGTCACCTACTCCCTGAATTATCCAGACTCTCCCTGAACTCGCCTTACTAATTGGGCTCTCTCTCTTGTGCACTCCTTCAATCTCCCCCCACGTGACGGGTCTCAGAGTCTTTCCCTCCTTATCCTCACTTGGGAGTTGGAACGATGCTTCAATGCCATCGATTCACATTGATTCTTTCAACCCACATTAGACACGTCGAGTCACTTGTATGAGAATCAGTTGTTTTTTGGTGGGTTTTAAAAATACCTTTTAAAAAATGTTTTATATTCGGGGTACAGTGTGAAGTGGTGGCCCAATGATTCAGCCAAAGCGATATGTGCCCCGATGATCTGAGTTTGATTTCAGGCTCTAGGTTAAACATCAGCGGGAAGGTGATGTTATGAATTGGCCCTACCCAATCTTCCACCTCCCTTTTATTGGCTATCTGCAACTGACTGAGCACGTTGAGTTATGGCAGTATAACCCCCTGGCCAACATTGCACAGGGGAGGCAATCATCGAGCAGTGTGGATTGCGAAGGGTTGTAAATTATGGCGTCGCACGTCATAATGGGTTCATATCACATTTTTTGATTGCCACAGTTGGCTATGTACGGTGCGAAGGAAGTTCAACGTACGTGCTATAGCTAGTCGAAATGTTATAATTTATTTGATTGCAATGTAAAAAATAGTATCTAAAAAAAATCAAACCATGAGTCTGGATGATTGCAATTCAGCCTGCTTGTGTCTCCCGAGAAAAATAAATCCACCATTTATTACAAAGCAAATGCAATGGACTCTGGAATGTGAATATTTGAATGCATTCACTGCGTCGTGTCTACTCTCAACATTTATGATTCACTAAATTTTGTTTGAAATAAAAGGTAGAAAAATCAATGCGTCGATATCTTTATATCAGTGTGTCTTAGTAGAATGTTACTAACATAGCGGTGGTGGATGTGCACGCCTGTAACCCAGGAGGACGTGGGTTCGATCCCGACATTGACACCTGCTGTATATTTAGAGTTTGTGGTGTCACTCTCCCCGTGGTCGTGTGGATTTGAATAAAAACCCAGAGACAACATCGAGATACTCTACATCGATAGAGTCTCATAGAGATACGTTGAAGACAAGCCACAGTGCAACTGTGGCAATGCGACCCAAACTACACACCGCACAGTAATCTCACCGTATAATTGACGTGTTTTGGGTTACATCGCGTCAATATAAATGCGTCGTTAAACCCGCCTCCACCCGACACAGCCAATGGGTAAAGTCTGTCACGTAAACCAAACATGCCAGTTAGTTACTAGTTCAGCACACCGGTGTGTTGGAGAGTGAACCCACAACATTTGCAGATGATCCTTATGGCGTTACTCCGGGTTACCAAATAATACAAAATGGGCCGAGGCAATTAAATATTTTATTTCTGGGACACTTTTTTTTTCCAGGGGTGTTACTTCACTCCGCGACTGGGGTACCAATCAATCCGAGATCGGTGATGCTACTCCACGATGTCGAAACGCCAACCATCAGCTTCAAGGCCATAGCCATCTAAATTTGAAAACTCATTTCCTGCCTAAAATATTAACAAATTCACTAACTCATAGGATGGACTTTTAATGTATTCTTTACAATAATGTCTAATAGTGTATTGTATTACATTGCTCTGTTTTTTTTTACCTTTTCTTGTTTCATTGTATGTCATGTCAGAGATTAGGGATTAATAAAGTACAACCATAACCATAACCACAATCATATAAACATAAATCTATTTTATAGCAATATATCGGGGGGGGGACATTGAGCATATTTTAATATTGAGGGGGATGTGTCCCCCCCCCCCCAATATATATTATAATTACAGCCTTGATCAGCATAAAAAAAATCCGTTATCGAAAAATGCAACTTTGAATAGTTGCATCGTGTAACAGCTCGTCGAGATGAGTCGATTGCCGCCTCGCCGACCATCAACAGACTAAAATGACAGCATCACGGGAATTATGCGAGAGCCGGGGTTGACGATGGTACCCCGGGGTAACCGCCATGAGGTTCAATTACACGAACTCCTGAAGCCCTCCCGTGGTGTCAAGCAGACACCACGGACATTGGAGTTGAGCGCCTGAACAGACCTGCTGCCGCACGCCAAGAACAAAAACAATGTAGAGGAGAGAAACAAACACAAGCAATTTAACTTTTAAAGTGCAATCACGGGCACCGCCTGCGAGAAGTCGGCAGGACTCTCCGGTAAAAAAAAGTTTTACGATTCTCAGTGAAGCTTTCCTGCGTAAATACACATAATAATTATTATAATAGCAAATACAGTAAAAAATAAAAATAATAACCCTCACGCAATTCAGGGTCCGTTACGTGCGCACACACAAAAAAACCTCGCACAAATTGTGACCAGAACTCTTCAACGCCATCCGCAAACGCGCGCTCCCCTAACCACAACCCCTGCTGTTGCACCTCTGATCAGCACGGTTCAGTCTCTCGTGGAGACTCGGGAGGTTCGAGGTGGATCCACAGGGAAGCGGCGAGGCAGCAGTCTGCGTCAAATCCACCAGCCTTCCTCACAAGCTCTGCGGTCCTTTACATATATGTGAAGCCAATCAATGCAACCTCCGACGTTTAGAGGATTTGGCTGCTATAACATTTCCACGTGGTAAGCCACTTCGTTGGGCTATCACTTGTGACCACGTCGCTTAAAAAAAAAGCTATACATCTCATTGGGCCTTAACTGGTTTAATAAAAAAAATTGATTATAGTTGATCACACTTGGCTACATGTGGGAGGAGACTGAGGGGCGGGGTTCGGGGTGCAACACTCCATCCTATTCAGATGGAACAGATGGAGTCCACATTTTTAGTGCTCTGCGCTATCTTGGCACGCCATGGGATGGCGCCGCCTCCACGCTGTCACTCGGGACGTGTCGCACAGCTGGACGCCTCTGTTGCTAACGTTGGCGATTTAAAAATTCGACAAGATCTGTACATTGTGCCTTTTCGTCTAGAGTTCATATCTCTGACAAGCAAAGCTTGCGAGTGACGTGATCTTGGGATACCCATGGGATGGCCTCGCGTTTCATCAGAAACCGTGGATAGTGCTCCCATTAACGGGCAGGGCGTGCTAAATGATGATTGTGTAACATCGCGGGGGAAGGAATCGGCATTCGTTGAGTAAATGCGCTGTGGCCGAGGGGTTAAGAGACGAGGAGGGCAAATTTCAACGCAGAAAGTACGCAGATTTATCTTCGGCCTCAGATTACACGGTGCAGTATTGTACATTACCCACAATTCGGCTACAGCGTATCTGTGCACTGAGTAATGCGGTATTTTAAAAGTCTATTTCACTCTTGATTTGAAGCTTTCGTGACTGCAGGAATCCATACTCTTTGGGTCTTTCGGTAAAGTCACGTAGGTAGGAAAATAAAATAAATCGATTTCACTTTTACCATATTTTTTCAACAGACAATTGACCCGAGGTGTTGAATTCAGGTCCTCAAAGTTGCACTGTGCTTTGATTTTTTGTTAGAGTTTACTATTCTCTTTTACCAGTTAAGGCCCACTGAGCTATTAAGCTCTTCTTAAGAAGCGATATGGCCACACAAATGATAGCTCAACGTGCAAATGCGTAGCAGCCAAATACTCTAAACGCGCGATGTTGATTCTAAATGTGGAGGGAAAAAACCGCAGGACCCGGAGAAAAATCCAAGCGACCACAGGGAAAGAGACACGCACACTCCAAATATACAGCAGCAGGTGTCAGGGTCGGGATCGAACCCACGACCTCCTGTATACCAGGCGAGGTAGTTAACATCTCCTAGCCACCGTGATGATGATGAGAGAGAGACACGTACACTCCAATTATACAGCAGCAGGCGTCAGGGTCGGGATCGAACCCACGACCTCCTGTATACCTGGCGAGGGAGTTAACATCTCCTAGCCACCGTGATGATGATGAGAGAGAGAGACACGCACACTCCAAATATACAGCAGCAGGCGTCAGGGTCGGGATCGAACCCACGACCTCGTGTAAACCAGGCGAGGTAGTTAACATCTCCTAGCCACCGTGATGATGATGAGAAAGAGACACGCACACTCCAATTATACAGCAGCAGGCGTCAGGGTCGGTATCGAACCCAAGACCTCCTGTATACCAGGCGAAGTAGTTAACATCTCCTTGCCACCGTGATGATGATGAGAGAGAGACACGCACACTCCAATTATACAGCAGCAGGCGTCAGGGTCGGGATCGAACCCACGACCTCCTGTATACCTGGCGAGGGAGTTAACATCTCCTAGCCACCGTGATGATGATGAGAGAGAGAGACACGCACACTCCAATATACAGCAGCAGGCGTCAGGGTCGGGATCGAACCCACGACCTCGTGTAAACCAGGCGAGGTAGTTAACATCTCCTAGCCACCGTGATGATGATGAGAAAGAGACACGCACACTCCAATTATACAGCAGCAGGCGTCAGGGTCGGTATCGAACCCAAGACCTCCTGTATACCAGGCGAGGTAGTTAACATCTCCTAGCCTACCGTGATGATGATGAGAGAGAGACACGCACACTCCAATTATACAGCAGCAGGCGTCAGGGTCGGGATCGAACCCACGACCTCCTGTATACCAGGCGAAGTAATTAACATCTCATAGCCACCGTGATGATGATGAGAGAGAGAGACACGCACACTCCAAATATACAGCAGCAGCAGGCGTCAGGGTCGGGATCGAACCCACGACCTTGTGTAAACCAGGCGAGGTAGTTAACATCTCCTAGCCACCGTGATGATGATGAGAGAGAGACACGCAAACTCCAAATATTCAGCAGCAGGCGTCAGGGTTGGGATCGAACCCACGACCTCCTGTATACCAGGCGAGGTAGTTAACATCTCCTAGCCACCGTGATGATGATGAGAGAGAGAAACACGCACACTCCAATTATACAGCAGCAGGCATCAGGGTCGGGATCGAACCCACGACCTCCTGTATACCAATCGAGGTAGTTAACATCTCCTAACCACCGTCACGTGGCCATTGTCAGCCTCCTGCAAGAGACACCAAACCACATGACGTAAACCCATAGCCTCAGAGCTGATGTTAGCGCGTTGTTTTGATTAACCTAACAGACACTGTAATAATAGGGTTTTTCCCGTTTTTCAGGCAAAACAAAACTGAAACCTTTTTTGTTACAAAGATTCATGTCTGCATTAACCACAATACTTGCAGTCAAAATGCAAACAAAAAAAACACTCTGATAATATATGTGGCATTGTCCTTGAATCTGATTGGTCCACACCAGAGACAGCTTTTTTTAGAGCTTGGTCTCAATTGGTGCTAGACCAGATGACGCCGAAAGGCGTTCTTAACAGACACTATTCCAAGTTTTTGACACAGAGACTTCAGAAGCATCGCTCTTTCATTGCTACGACGTGACCATTACGAACCCCTGAGAGACACCCAGTCCCAGGGCTTGAACTCAGGAGGAGTTCAGATGTGTTATTCCATCTTTGTGACATAGCCAGTATGATCCCCCGGTACGACAGAGGCGAACCAGCCCCATGATATGAACTCATGACCCTTGAGTTCCTGGCGCATGCCCTGACGTGGCCATGACGACTCCGTCTGAGGATGGGTTTGAACTCAGGCCCGCACGAGTGCTGGATTCAATGCTCTTGAAAATGTGCAAAACATCGTACACGTTAACAACCACTCCCAGTTACGCCTCCTCCGCAGCATGAGCCCTGCCCAGTGCCCCCGGTACCCTCAGGACCACGTGCAATGTGGCTCAGCTGGGAGCGCTAAATTGGGCAGGGAACGCTGGGTGCTCTAGGAATAGCAGACGATTGCCGATCAACAGCTGTCGGGGGGGGGGGGGGGACACGCA